TCACTGCTGAGTTCCACCAAACATTTAAAGAAGAATTAATATCAATTCTAGTCAAACTATTCTGAAAAAAGATTAGGAGGGAATACTTCCAAATTCATTCTATTTGGCCTGTATTACCCTGATACCAATATCATTAAAAGACACATCAAAAAAGAAAAAAATACAAGCCAATATCCCCGATTAACATTGATGCAAATATCTTCCACAAAATTTAGCAAACAGAATTCAACAACACATTAAAAAGATTATTCATCATGACCAAGTGAGGTTTATCCTAGGTATATAAAAATATTTCAACACAGGGAAATCAAACAATGATACATCCTGTCAACAGGATGAAGGATACAAAACATATGTTCATTTTAATTGATGCTGAAAAAGGATTTCATACAATTCGACATCTCTTCATGATAAAAACCTTAAAACAAATGGGAGTAGAAGGATCATACCTCAGCACAATAAAAGCCATGTAAAACAGACCTACAGCTAGTGTCACTCTGAATAAGGAAAAACTGAAAGCCTTTCTTCTAAAATCTGGAACACAACAAGGATGCCCACTATTATTTAATGACTATTATTCAACTTGGTACTGGAAGTTCTAGCTGGAGCAGTTGGACAAAAGAAGGAAATAAAGCGAATCCAAACTGGGAAAGAAGAAGTCAAATTATTCTGGTTTCCAGATGATATGATCTTATAATTAGAAAAATCTAAAGATCACATCAATAAACTATTAAAACTATTTAGTAAAGTTGCAGTATACAAAATCAACATACAAAAATTAGTATCATTCCTATATGCCAACAGCAAATTTTCTGGAAAAGAAAGCAATAAAGTAATCCGATTTATAATAGCTACAAAAGAATTAGATACCTAGGAATAAACCAAAGAAGTGAAAGATCTCTAAAGTGAAAACTGTTAAATATTTATGCAATACATTGAAGAGGACACAATAAAATGTAAATATACCACAAATGTATGGACTGGAAGAATCAATATTTTTTAAATGTCCATACTACCCAAAACCATCTATATACTCAATGAAATCCAGTTAAAATATCAATGATATTCTTCACAGAAATAGACAAAATAATCCTAAAATGTATGTGTAACTATGAAATAATCAGAATAGTCAAAAGCATTTTGAGCAAAAAGAGCAAGACTGGAGGAATCACATTACCTGAATTCAAATTATATCACAGAACTATAGTAATCAAAGTAGCATGCTACTGGCATAAAAACAGACACATAGACCAATGGAATAGTACAGCGAACCTGGAAAGATATCCACACATTTATGGTGAACTCATTTTGACAAAGGTGTTAAGAAAATTCATTGGGGAAAGGACAATCTCTTCAATAAATAATGCTGGGGAAGCTGGATATCCATATGCAGAAGAGTGAAACTAAACTCCTCCCCCTAATTATATGAAAAAAGAATTAAAGACTGAAATCAAGGACCTAAAACTATATTTTCCAGGACATCCAAGACATTTGCGGAGCAAAGTTTTCTTGAGCAATCCCCCACAAGCACAGGAACCAAAGCAAAAAATGGACAAATGGGATTACATTGAGTTAAAAAGCTTCTGCACAGCTAAGAAATAATCAACAAAGTGAAGAGACAACCCACAAAATTGGAGAAAATATTTGCAAACTCTCCATCTGATATGTGTGATTAATAACCAGAATATATAAGGAGTTCGAACAACTCAATAAGAAAAAAAAAGTCTAATAATCTGATTTAAAAACGGGCCAAAGATCTGCACACATTTTTCAAAAGAAGACATATAAATGCTAAACAGATATAGAAAAAGATGTTCAAAAACACTGAATATGAAAGAAGTGTAAATCGAAACTACAATGAGATATCATCTCACTCCAGTTAAAGTGGCTTTTATCCAAAAGACAGGCAATAAGAAATGCTGGTGAGGATGTGGGGAAAAGGGAACCCTTCTGCACTATTAGTGGGAATGTATCAAATAAATTAGTACAGCCACTATGGAAAACAGTATGGAGGTCTCTCAAAAAACTAACAATAGAACTACCATGTTATCCAGCAATCATCTAGCTAGGTATTTATCTATAAGAAAAGAAATCAGTATATTGGAGAGATATCTGCAGTATCATGCTTATTGAAGTGCTATTCACAATAGCCAAGATTTGGAAGCAACCTATGTGTCCATCAACAGACAAATGGATAAAGAAAATGTGGTACATATACACAATGAATTACTATACTCAGTCATAAAAAAGAATAAGGTCCTGCTATTTCCAACAACATGGATGGAACTGGAGGAGATTATGTTAAGTGAAATAAGTAAGGCACAGGAAGACAAACTTTGCATGTTCTCACTCATTTGTGTGAGCTAAAAATTAAAACAATTGAACTCATGGAGATAGAGACTAGAAGGATCACTACCAGATGGTGAAACACATGTTAGGGGTTGTAGGGGGAATTAGGGATGGTTAATGGTAACAAAACTATAGTTAGATAGAATGAATAAGGCCTAATATTTGATAGCACAACAAGATTACTCCAGTCAACAACAATTCATTGGCCGGACATGGTGGTTCACGCCTGTAATTCCATCATTTTGGGAGGCCAAAGGGGGCAAATTACCTGAGGTCCGGAGTTCAAGACCATCCTAAATGGTGAAACCTCATTTCTACTAAATAATACCAAAATAACTTACCAGGTGCACACCTGTGGTCCCAGCTACTCGGGAGGCTGAGGCAGGAGAATTGCTTGGACCCGGGAGGCAGAGGTTGTGGTGAGTCGAGATCGTACCACTGCACTCCAGCCTGGAGGGCAGAGCCAGACTCCATCTTGAAAAAACAAAACAAAACCCAATAATTTGTTATACATTCAAAAATAACTAAAACTGTATAATAGGAATGTTTGTGACAGACAAATGATAAATACTTGAGATGATGGACACCCTATTTATCCTGACATGATTATTACACATTGTATGCCTGTATCAAAATATCTCATGTATCCCATTAATAATACACTACTGCATACTCATAAAAAAAGAGTTATAGCCACAAAATGGAATGCCCTGCAGCCATAAGAAGGAATGAAATACTGATAATATTGTTTACTTCGGGAAAACCACAGTAAATTGAGAATGCTAAATAAGTGAAAATATATATGATGATCATTATCATAAAATTTACTTTGAAAATAAAATCGCTTTTAACATGAGTACATTTTTAAAACAAAATCATCAATATAATATTTCACTGAAAAATAAGGCAATTTGCTCTTCCTGTTTTTTCAAATAATTTACAAATATTAACAAACAATAATTACTATAACCTCTATTTATACCAACTTCCCAGGAAACTAAAAAGGATTAAAAATTGTAAATGTTGCTAATTTATCTGGGGATTTCTATGTTTGCTACATTTTTCCTCAGTGCAATTTTTTTTTAGCATTATGTACGTTTTTTAAAAGTATTCTTTCTAACTTTTCTAAAAACTAAAACAATACATTTCCTTTTTAAATTAATTTTCCTGTTCATTTATACTGTTGGATATTGACTTTAAGATAAGCAGAATGATTTTCTTAGCAGGAAAGATAAATTAGCAAATGTTTGAACAATGTTTATATTTACACATCTTCTGTAGTAAGATTTTCATTAAAGTTATCTAGCTTAATTCTTGCTTTCTTAGTAAACACAATCTTCTAAGTTTTACAACTGCACTTTAACTTCTTAAGTATGATATTTCACACTGAGGGTCATATTCACCAATTTTAACTTGCCATACATGTTACAAGTTCCAGCGAACTATTTATCTTTTTCTATTTTCCACCTGAATAAATAATTTGAGAAACAGAAACAGAGACAGGGAGAGAGAGACAGACTGACCCAAGAGGCAGAAAATAATACAGAGAGTCACAGAACAAAGAAAGAGGAGAGATAGAGGATAGCAAAATAGATATAGATAGACATAGATACAGTCATGCATTCATTAATGAGAAGGATACATTCCAAGAAATGCATGCTCCTGTACTTAATACTATAGAGAATTGTAAAACAATAGTAACTGTTTGGGTATCTAAACATATCTGAACATAGTAAAGATACAGTACAATTACTGTGTTATAATCTTATAGGACCATCATTGTATATGCGGTCCATCATTGACTTAAACATTGTTATGTGGTGCATGACTGTATATATATGTATAATACATATACATGTGAAACAAAAAGGGAAACATATTGAGACAGAGACAAAGAATGAGAATCAAGAATGTTTCCCATATACAGACTTCCACATGCTTTGATAAAATATCACCTTTCTAAATCAGTAATGCATGTATCCCATCATGAGAGCAGATATATTCTAAATTACCTTACAATAATGCTGAGAATTATAACATCATTTTCCTAATCAATTTCCGTTGTAACTGGTGGCTTTTATTCATGAGTCCGATGTCCAGGGACCAGGTATAGTTTACGACATTGGAAACAACAACAACATACACGGGATTAAGCCCATAACTAGTTTCCACTGGACTATATATTAAATAAAATAAACTTATCATAACGAAAACATGTAATAAATTAATAAAAATACATCTGGACAATGAAAATCTAATATCTTCAACCTAAAGTTATTCCTTAAATAGGTAGTTTTTTAAGAAAATATAATCTCAAAATTGGTGAATCATTCCTTTGAATTAGAGAATATTCAGAAACTTTTGAAGTAAAATATTTGCTAGCTTAGCAGTGCCATCAAAATTCTCATAAAATTACTTAAAAGAAAGCAAAGATGGGGTAACCCAGGAATCAACAAATTAATCAGTGATATATAATTGTAATTTCCATTCAGTAAAATATAGATAGGACTAAGAAATTACATACCAAGGTTTGTTATGATAAAATTGAAGATGTTCACACTCCTACAGTCTATCAGAGGCGTGAACTTCTACAACTATTTTTCCAATTATTCCGAAATTTTTATCTGAGGCAAGCAAAGCCATTTTGTCTTCTGCTTTCTGCTTCAGTTCATTTCATCACTCTGCTCTACATTTTATCCTACATTTCATCATTCTAACATAGTATTAGCAAAAGGGAAGAAGTTGGTATTTCACAACCTGATCCAGTAAACCTAATCTGGAGATGTGTATTTGTGAGGATCACAAACCCCTGCATACGGGCATGAGTTCACGGTTCAGTTTCACTGTCCACTAGATATCTCACCTTGAAAAAGTAATTGAACCTCAGGTTAATGAATCTACTTGTCAGGGAAATAGGCTTGTCAGCACCCATGTTCATTCCAAATGGTTGCTGTAAGAGATAAATATGTTGACATTTTAAATGTATATAACACACTAATGGCATAATTAAAATTCAATAAATAGTAGAGAGGACATGGAAGAATGTATGGATAGATAGATAAATGGAATGAAAGTGGTTAAGTCCTGGGACATAGGAATACAATATGGGATGCAGTATTACGTAAATTCATTTTGAAGAACTGCTTCAAAACATATAAGAATGATTACCTCTGAATAATTCAATCAATGGTAAATAGAAGATCCATCTCCAGCTTAACAGAGTCACCATAAATATATGCCTACAAAACATGGGAAATTTTATTTAACTCTGTGTAAGTTAACAAGCCAAAGGTTACCTTCTAAGCTACCTCCAAAAACAGAGAGTGTATCCTACAGTTTTCTCTAGGGTACCAAGATATTAGACCCCAATAACAGTAGTGGTTTCAAAAATGTTTTTCTCTCTTTCAAAAATTTGCTTTCTCCTCCATATATTGATAATATTTCATAAATATTTGTTGCATGAAATCACTAGGTCCCATGTTGGAGGTATTATTTCTTTATTATTTGTTCTTGAGTGAGGACAGTTCTATGTTGTTTGATATCTGTACATAGACAACATTGGTCATTCTCAGTGTTGAATAAAAGTAGAATTTTAATAAAATTCCAATGAGTTTAATAAAACTTGACTCATTAAAATTGCCCTCAATTTGACGGTGGAATCGACGCTTTGAGCACAGTTATAATGTAAGGGATGAGAACAGATAAGAATAAACATGTTTCTGAGCTATAATCAAGCAATAATAGCACGTGCTACCACTTCTGGAAACCCATATTCAAGAAGGCTAATATTTCTGCAAAGAGTCCCAGCTGCTATTGCCCTAAAAGATGCCAAAGCAGCATTTCCCATTGTCGGTTCTTTTTTTTTTATATTTTGGCTCCTTCAGCCACAGATGCACAACATGCTGTCAGGGGAGCTGCTGGAACATGGGCCCAAAGGCCAGTCTCCAATCATCAAGTCACTCACCAAATTCTTAGCACATCTTCACTGTGTGTTATATGCTGAGTCATATTGTGGAATAATACAGTCGAATAATCTAGCCTGATGGGCTTCATACCCTACTGGGTGAGCCAATGAATAATTAATATGGAATTATAAATCATAATATTGTAAAACAAAATGTAGGGTAGTCTGAGGGAAAATAAAAAATGGAGCCTAATTTCACTTCTGATTTCTTTGAGAGAAATTAAATTTAGGCCCATTGGTTTTGTACAATTGACTAGGAGCTAGCCAGATGAGAACTCTGTGTGTGTAGGTGTGTGTGTCTGTGGGACTGTGTGAAAAGAGAGAGAGAAACAGAGAGGGGGGTAGTGAATAATTTACTACTTCAGGAAGAAGAAATAAGAAAAACAATGAGGAAGGCAGAATAAACAGTGGCCATAATTAGGAGATTAGTATGGCCAAAGGCAGGATGAATTATCCTTCTGAGCCAAAGCTGCCCTATGTATTTTTGTGAAAACCCTAGATAATTGAGCTCTATTGTTACACACAACACACACACACACACACACACACATACACACACACACATCTACATTTCTGTATTTGTCTCTGATCAATGCTGCTTTCTTTTTCACTATATTGTAGAGATTGTGTATGTCCAGGCATGTGTGAGTGTGTCTGTGTGGGTAAAAATAACATCTTTACCCACATCTTTAGGTTTTGGTTTTTTTCTTTTTTCTTTTTTTTTAATATCCTTCTCTGTTGGATTCACGTACAAGTTTATGGCATTTAGGCTGAATTTAAAAATGTAGATGGAAGTGACTATACTTTATTCTCAGCTGTTCTTTTAACCAGACATTTAAAATATTAATTGTGCTGCAGTGATATGCCAGGTCCTGTTCCTGAGAATAAGAAAAGTATTATTATTGTGCCAGCCTTGGGTCTGACACCTTCTTTCCTTAGAATCAGTGCTTTCTCCAAAATTTATTTGACTTCCCAATGAAACAGACTTTCACTTAATCAAGGCACCACACTTTGAGTCTAGACACATCCAGACATTTATGAGATTTATTAGTGATAAAGTTTAACATAGCTTACTCTCAAGCTGAAATCTCTCTTTCTGTGGCTGAAATCTCTCTGTCTCTCTCGCTCTGTCTCTCTCTCTCTCTGTCTCTCTCTCTCTCTCTCACACACACACACACACACGAGTTAAAATTTAAAAGGACTGTTTTAGGAAATATAAGTTTTATATTCTGGAAAAGAAAGAATCAAAATTGTTGAGAAATACATGCAGAGAAAATAAATACAAATATACAAAGTGGTGATGATTACTATTAATTATTTGATGAGTAATTTTTATATACACTTGGATAAGTGGTAATTTCTCTAGAATACATAAAAGTCACCATATAACTAGAAAAAAAAAATGCTTGAAATTAGAATAACAAGGCAAAATTGAGACAATCAGTTTTTCTATGGAGAAAATAAGCTTTTCGTTGTTATTAGTGCTTCAAATATATTCAAACAAGCTTAATAATATTTCCAAAAATGGAAATGAGTATAACAAAGAGCACAAATTACACATTTTATTGGGAAATTTTAATGCTTAAATAAAGATAATTAAGCAGCATGAGTTAAAATTTTCAGTAAGAAAGATAAATAGAAAATCTGTTTTAAAAAGTCTCATGCTTCCACTTTTTCAACATATGCTATACATTTATAGGGCACAGAAGTAATTAGATAACTCAGTGTTTTAATCAAGAAAGTCCTCCGGATGTGTATGGCAGAGTGGGTGTCTGATTCAGGGTAAGAAGCAGAATTACATTATTTTAAAATAACAGTGGTAATTTTAATCAAGATTTTTGCCTAAATTTGTGAGCTAAGTGATAGCTGATTACATAATAATCAAAAATGTAATCTCGTTAAGAGGCAATGCCCAAATTTTCATGTATCTAAAAATAATCATTGAAATTTTATCTCCAATTAGATCTACATATATTAATGAAAAAGGGGCAGATTTTCCTTAAAACTAATTCTTATCAATAAACCAATAACACAAATGTGGTTACTATTGCATAATTGACATGAAAAAGATGGCTTTAAAATTGATTAATTAATAGACACGCAAACAGTTCAGTATTACTTGAACATTTAGCCAATCAGATGTTCATTTCTAACTACTTCTTTTCTTCCAATAATCACATATTTATGAAGAATCCACTGTGTTCTAAGCACTGGGTTCTGGAGAAACATTAGTGAGCAAATCACAGGAAAACTGGTTCTAAAATTTGCCTTGCTCTTCTAATTTCAAGTTGTAGGAAAGACATATGCAGTTATCTTGGGAAAGGCCATTTCAGCCATGGAGAACATCCAGGGTGAAATCTTTAGGGCAGAAGCATTCTCGAATTATTTTAAAAAATAAAGTAAAGCGGAGGTGAGTGCACCTGTTACAGAGTGAGCAGGGAGTTGAGGGTCTTAGGACAGGTATCACTGAAGTCTTGACATCTGAGAAAAAATATGCTTTAATTATTTCAAAGTTCAAAGCACTAACTTCATGATATTAAAATCATTTCCACTCTGGCTTTCAGGTGAGAAGACATTTCTCATCTCTAAAGTATAGTGTAAAGCAGTGGATTTCAAACTGTTTTAAGCAGCTTAAACATTTTTTGCAATGAAACTTTTATGGAACTGCTATATATAAAAGGCAAACTCAGAACAGATCTGTTTGAATAATGGTAAAGGAGCTAAACTCAGTCTATCACATACCCTGACCTTAGTGGCAGCGAAGAGATTCTTAGAAAAATGTTCTAATAACTAGACTAGATGATCTTAAAGTTCTGTTCATGTCTTTGGTTTTATAAGGTAATAAAGCTTTCTAGAAACTGCCTAACATATCATCATCAAATTGAATAGTTACTGTCCATTCATTCCTAGGCTTTTCTTACAGTTCTGTACACCTTCCAAAAAAAAAATAAATAATAAATAAAATCTTTGAAACTAATTAAATTTGCCACTAAATTTTTTAAAAAAGATATTTAAATTAAATTGACTATGACTATTTCCTCATTTCTCTTAGTTACTTTTTTTTGCAAATTATCTCAAGGTAGTATTTCCTAGAACTAATTTCAGAGAATCACAAAAAACATTATGAGCTGCTTATTTATATCTCTTATGGTGTCTAAAAGTAAGAAAAATATTCCTAATAAGAAAAATTACTCACCCCTAATATTATAATTTTATAATTTTTTAATGTTTAAGATTCTCATGTACATTTGGGATAATGCACAGATTTTTATTTTTTGATCCAGGACAATATGTACACATATGTAAATACATGGGCAAAAGGTTTTTTGGCTACATTTATTCAAGTCAATAGGGAGCCCATAGGGATTCTGGAGGTTTTTTCATTTTTATATCTAACTACTAAATCTCATTCCTTCCAAAAGTCAATGAAAACCCAAATAAATATTAATGAAGTGAGCAAAAGATTTTAAGAAATTTGGCACAAAAATTTCCAAACCACAACACATCAGATTATTTCTGTTAATCTTCTGCAGTGTTTTTAGTTGCATTATGTCCCTGTGTTCCATGCTACATGTTTAAAATCAGTATGAAGAAAAAGCAAGGTCAGGTCATTTGTCCTATAAGCAAACATAAATAAAATAAGTCTTTGCCCTAAAAGAGAATTTCTCACTTATATTTAACTAATGTCAATGAAAGTTAAAAGAATTTTTATTTGGCTTATGTTATTTAAAATAAATTGTAATAGGCAGGCAGCAACTTAAAAACTTGTCATTACAATCTTCCCAATGATGCCATGTTCTTTTCGGTTCTAGATCTTTATTACATAATTTTAATTTCTCATTACTTAAATTGTTATTGTTATTGGCTTGCTAGGTACTTTTCTTCTTCTTTTTTTGATCCAGAGATGCTACTTTTAATTTTGAAAGTTACTTGCACAATATAGCTGCTGTAGATAATGCCACAAAATACAGAATTGGAAAGTGCCAAGAACTATTTTCTTCAGTCCCTGGTAACAGTTCATGACACCTAAAAAAATTACCATCAGCAGAATGTTGAAGATAAATAACTATATTTCTGCAGAAGTGTAAAAAATAAACCTTTGATCTAAAGTGATATTTATTAACCTGAATGCGAGATTAACTATAACATTCATCTTGAGTAATATTTTGTACTCATCTAGAACCTTTTATCTTAGACTCTAAAAAAAATTAAATACATTAATTCCTTATAAGACCCCTCTAGCTAGGTAATAATTTTAATTTCTCCTTTATTGATGGAGAAATCAAGACACTGAGATGAATTCGAAGTCATATCATGAGTCAATTCTGACTGAAAACAAGAGTTGTGGTTTGAATGTCTAGGTTTGTAATATAAAGTTGTTATTTTTAATCCCAAAGAGCTTTTTCAAAGAATAATTTTTTCAGAATATGTTTTTCTAAATGATTGTAGAACTGATGCAAATATTTCTTCAGTAAATAAGAAAAAATGTTACATTTAAATATTATCTTAAGATTTTCTAACTTATAAACTAAAGAGTTATATTGAAGAAACTTGTTGAATAGTTACTTAACAACAAGGAAAGAATGTAAGAAAGCTTATAGAAAGGTGGAATCTTACTGTGAGTGTACATTTACAGTTTAAGATCAATTTTCATTATGGACATAATGTTTAATTCATAATTTGCTCAGGCCAGGAAACAGCGATGATGAGAAAAGTGCCAACAAGTTGAGGTCTATTCTGATCTCATTGTTGTGAAGAATGGTCATACTGGTATACGTAATTGAAAGTTACAGTTACATAAAGAGTGGCTCTCCCGTTACAGTTGTAGATAAGTCTACAATTCGATATAGATTATTCTAAACCTTTGTATATAATCACACTTCACCAATCATTCATCTGAGAAGTCATCTCTTATCTCCAAGTCTATGTCAAATCCTGTACAATATGGTTTTGTAGCATCATGTCACTCTCATAGTAATTAGCAAGCTGTACATTTATATTTATTTGCAAAATTGTTTAATTATTTCTCTTCAGTATCAGACTGTATGCTAGACTGGTTTGGAGACAGAATCTGTTTTCCACTCCATTCCCAATACTTGGTACATTAGCTTTCCCATATTAAGTGTGAAAATATTAATACATTAAGACATTTTAATTGGAATGGGATATTTGGCTTAATTGTGCTTCAGTCAAAGATATTTTTCCAAATGTGTAATGTTACTATGCAATTATGGAAAAGCACCCCACATCATTTATTCATACAACATAATGGGACTAATGATAATGATTAATGGTAAAGGGGATAAACTCAATCTCTCACATACCCCGATCTTCACAGCAGCGCGGAGACTCTTTCTTAGAAATATGTTTTTAATACCTAGACTAGATGATTTTTAAAGTATAACAATGCTTCCAGCATTTTGTTGCCTTAAGATGCCAATTGGAAAATGAACCAAATCCTCTATCTAGATTAATATAAATGTATTAATGTCACTTACTCTGAGATTATATTGCCATTATTAAAATAAATGTGAAATATTATAAATTAATTTAATGGATCTCTTAAATAAAGCCCACATACTTTAGGGGAGAAAATGTTTTCCCTCAGGCAACTGTCAAGCCTTTTGTTACATCTCTAGTTTAAGTTCCTTTTGGATCTTTGATGCCTACTGTTAGATGTGGGAGAGAGAATGGATTCCCAGAATGGAGTCATATAGACCAATTCAGTGTACATCCTTTGAAACTGCCCGAGATTTGTGAGATTGCTTTAGTTAACCATTTTGTGGAGTAGCTGAATTTTCAAACAGATCAGGGTGTTTTACTTTACTAACTAAGCTAAAATATTTTATGCTGCATTAACTTGTTTGAATTAAACAAGCATTAAAAAACTTGGTGGAGTCAACAAAAAAAGAAATTTCACCAAGTATTATTATGCTGTAGAACAAAATGCTTAAGCACAGTCAACATGACTCGAATTTTAACTGAAATTTGGAAGTAATTTGCTGTTTGTTAAGACAGATATTTTCTTAAACACCTGCACCCCTATATGCATATGTGTGCAAATGAACACATTATATCAGGTGCATTGTACACATCAACAAAGGCAAAAGTAGCAGAGCAATTGTTTAACACTGCCCTTATAGATCACAAGTGGTCCTAACCTGCAGTCAGGACAGGAACTCAAGTCTTCTGACTCTGAGTCTTGTGTTCATTTTACCGAAGTGCTCTTAGAAGGTCTGCGCTATAGAATTGTCTTTCGGGCTCCCTCAATGTGTAGCTATATAATCTCTACCAGTGCTGATTTCTTTTAAAACTCTATATTGGAGAAACGAAAGTCTTACTCTTATTTGAAGTATAATTTACTAAACTAATTTAAATTCATATGCAAATATTAAACATCTCAAACTTATTCATAATGGCATTTATGGTATTTGACAGTGTAAGGTTTGTGTGTGTGCTTTAGGCGTTCACATTAATTTCAGATACATCCAGTTTTTCAAAAAGGCAGCAGAACATCTTTTGCTTAATATAGACTCATTTGGAACAGAAATCTTCTCATTTTATTTTTGGATATCATAATGAATGCTGCTGATAAAGTCATATGAAATCATAGATGTGTACATGACTAGAATTTTCCTTTTCTTATTTTTTATAACTTTCAAGTGTTGCTTCTGGGTGTACTTTTTTTTTTTAATTTATTTATTATTATTAAACTTCAAGTTGTAGGGTACATGTGCACAACGTGCAGGTTTGCTACATATGTATACTTGTGCCATGTTGGTGTGCTGCACCCATCAACCCGTCATTTACATCAGGTATAACTCCCAATGCAATCCCTCCCCCCTCCCCCCTCCCCATGATAGGCCCCGGTGTGTGATGTTCCCCTTCCCGAGTCCAAGTGATCTCATTGTTCAGTTCCCGCCTATGAGTGAGAACATGCGGTGTTTGGTTTTCTGTTCTTGTGATAGTTTGCTGAGAATGATGGTTTCCAGCTGCATCCATGTCCCTACAAAGGACACAAACTCATCCTTTTTTATGGCTGCATAGTATTCCATGGTGTATATGTGCCACATTTTCTTAATCCAATCTGTCACTGATGGACATTTGGGTTGATTCCAAGTCTTTGCTATTGTGAATAGTGCAGCAATAAACATACGTGTGCATGTGTCTTTATAGCAGCATAATTTATAATCCTTTGGGTATATACCTAGTAATGGGATGGCTGGGTCATATGGTACATCTAGTTCTAGATCCTTGAGGAATCGCCATACTGTTTTCCATAATGGTTGAACTAGTTTACAATCCCACCAACAGTGTAAAAGTGTTCCTATTTCTCCACATCCTCTCCAGCACCTGTTGTTTCCTGACTTTTGAATGATCGCCATTCTAACTGGTGTGAGATGGTATCTCATTGTGGTTTTGATTTGCATTTCTCTGATGGCCAGTGATGATGAGCATTTTTTCATGTGTCTGTTGGCTGTATGAATGTCTTCTTTTGAGAACTGTCTGTTCATATCCTTTGCCCACTTTTTGATGGGGTTGTTTGTTTTTTTCTTGTAAATTTGTTTGAGTTCTTTGTAGGTTCTGGATGCCTTAAACTTATGAGTAAGGGTGTACTTTTAAATTAAATCAAAATAAATGCATAAGAGAAAAAAATCCTTCACATAATATCCCGTCAGTAAAATTAGTAAAACCTGGAAAACAATTTCTATTTTAGTATGTGGATAAGGAGATAAGATTCAATATCTGTTCATTTTCACTGTGGCAAGAAAAAAAAAAGTGTAATTTTCAGTACTCTTGCTAACTTCCATTATCCACACGGGAGTTGTTATTATCTGCATAATGTACTGAGGCATTTGCTATTAAGCTTACTGTTCAAATTAGTCTCCCTTGATTTCAAGTCACTTTCACTTGAAACAATAAAATTAAATTAGCAGAGTCTTACCCAGGTCAGTGTGAAGTTTCTCCTGATGAATTTTCCAAGATATTGTTGCTCTGTTATCGTTTTCATATCATAACTTTGGGTGCAATTGAAACAGATATTTTTGTCCCATTTGTAGGGATTTTTTTACTAAAAGAGAGCAATGCATAATTTTGTTTAATTCAGTTTCTTTCATTTTGCTATTGTACAGCAGCTTAAAATAGCAATAAAATGCACATTTTAAAGCATATCTTCAACTTTTATTTTGGTGTTTTAAAGTGCAATTAGGTTTATTTTAAAATTAAAACATTGATATGATAAAATAACTCTGAATCCCAATTGTAATAAAAATTGCATTTTCTCTTTGAAATATGAAGTAAAATTACTCTGTGAAATTACGTTTAAGAATGAACTAGCCACTTTCTTTCTCGCTGTAGTTTTCCCTTTCTATATATTATTGTATTTCTTTTGTTTCTCTTTGACATGCATTTATCAAATATAATCAGAGGAGGTTTTGTTTGTTTGTTTGTAGTCTCAGAGTGTAGGGATTTCAGAGAAGAATTTTTTAACAAATGACAATAACTAGAGCAGGCACATAAATAGTATTTTTACATTAAAATTATATTGAATTTTGTCGCTGCAGGGGGAGGAATACAATGTGGAACTGACAAAGATTCAAACATTCTGAACAACTGAGGTAGCTGTATTTTGCCCTGATTGTTTGAAGCTAGAGTTTTTTTTTTTTTTTTTTTTTTTTTTTTTTTACTGCCAGGCTGTTTTTAGAACAAATTCTCCTCGGTTACTCAAATAAATCTCTTCCTTCATATTCTGTATTTTTTCATCGTGTTCTCTCTGCTTAGAAAGATCTCACCCTATTCATTGCTTGATTAACCTTTTTCTCCTTCCAGCCATAGTTTTGTCACTTCTGCAAGTGCTTCTCTGACATCCTTAGACTAAGTTGAATACACATCTTTTGCATTCCTGCAGCACCTTGTTCTCACCTCTGATTATTAATTGTATCTTAGCTAGCTCATCTTTAAGGCATGAACTGCCTCATTCATTTCTATTTTTCCAGAGTTTCACAATTTTTAATAGAGTGGAAATGTAATACTATTTCTTGAAAGACTGATTGACTAATTAAGTGAATGAATAATTCAGTGATATGTTAGGTAAATTGTTTAGGGAAGTAAAAGTAAATGACAACAACAAAGAAGCTAAACGTGAAAAATCACTTAAGGTGAAATAAAGCTTTTCACGATAAATTCTGCTCCATCTTTTCTTACAATGTCTATGTATTTCTGACTTAGACATCACATCTGGCGCTCTCTCTCTCTCTGTGTGTGTGTGTGTGTGTGTGCGCGCACACACGTGTGCTATGAGATAGAGACAGAGAGAAGGCAGAGAGGAAAGAGAGGGAGAGAATGAATGTCTTTAGACAAGCATCCTCTCTTCAGTTTCAATTCTCTACCACTCTCCAATTCATCAAATCATCTGACCACTTCACATCTTTATGTTACCTGACTTACCCCAGAAAGCAAGCATTTGAATTTGAAGCCTTTTCTTCCAACTGCTTGGCACTAATAATGGTCTACTAGGAAAGGGAAATTAAAAAGAAATATTTGCTTTATCCTGACAATTTTTTTAGCATAAGGATTGGCCGTTACATTACTTTGAAAATTCTGATCTTCTAGTACATTTACTTCTCCTTTTTTTAAATTAGTTACTCATTTTAAATATAAACTTTTCAGAAAAACAACCACATCTACACAACCCCTATAAAAAATTTTAAAATCAAAAATTTCTGGAGATCAACAGTCTATCATTGATCTGACTACAAAACCTGACTAGAACTCATGTAAGTTTAATGTTGGTATTTATTTATTCCACTTAGAGTATTTATACATTTTGCAGCAGAAATATGAATGTAGTTGACTATGAGTTGTGAATATTTAAAATATGTTCCAAATTCCTTCCTAAAATAAACATAAAAGTAATTTAAATTCTGAAACTCATCTGGTCCCAAGAATTTTAAATAAGGTAGTACAGAAACATAAAAAATAAATATAAGACCATTTCAAATGTAAATATAGGTAGACTTGGAATAAATAAAAAGAAAGTTCAAATGCAGATGCACAGATTCTACAGTTTTATATCATTACAAAGTTGATTCAAACTGTACCTTAGCTGGTGCAGTGACTCTCGGTGTAATCCCAGCACTTTGGGACACTGAAGTGGGAGTATGAGTTGAGCCCAGGAGTTCAAGACCGACCTGGGCAACATAGTGAGACTCTGTCTCTCCCCACAAAAATTTAAAAATTAGCTTTGTATAATTGCATGCACCTCTAGTCCCAGCTCCTCTGGAGGCTGAGATAGGATGATCCCTTGGCCAAGGAGGTGGAGGATGCAGTGAAATCTGATCACTCCACTGCACTCTAGCCTGGGTGACAGAGCAAGACCCCTGTCACCAAAAAATAAATTTAAAAAAAAATGTAGTTTAATTTTCTTGACAGCTAAACCAAAGGATTAGAAAAAATTACTTTGTTTACACTACAAGTCAAAGAAAAATGATGTCAGAGTGCAATGAAAAAATCATCAAACAATAATTCTTAATCCATCATGTCTCTCTCAATTCTAATGCTATTTTGCCTGATAACTTGACATTATTTTATACACTTCTGAATAGAAAGTTTCTCCACTTATAGGATATAGTGATTGAAGTTAAAATTTGGTGAGTGTCTTCCAGTTTTATAGTATCACCAGTTGGATCATAAAGTAAAAAATAAGAAATAATAGTTAATATAATCATCTCAAACATAATTGTAGTTAGCATAGTTATTTAGACCATTCACTTATTATCAGCAAAATATAGTTATCAATAACTCTGATAAAAGTAAAAAGAATAAGCATTAGCAAGAAGTTCTGCAGAAAATTGATAGTTTATTGAGAAAAAAAAATGTTTTTCCTCTAGGGGACAGGCCTTTGTGCAGACTACGCCATATAGTGGCTCCAAAAAAGGAGTACAAAGTAACACCTCCCACAGCTGGCAGGGAAAGGATGCTTTGTTCAGTGATATTACATAGACATTCAATTTTTTTCTCCTATGGGAAAGCTATTTTTAACTTGAATCTAGGTATGAACCTGATTAATATATCTGGTTACTATTCTTTTCCAGGATAGAAATTCCCATAATTAGTCACTTTAAACAACTCCTTTATCAAGTTGTGTTTAATAATATAATCAGCTAGACTGTTTATTTTTATATCTTAAAATATATTACTATAATATTTAAGCTTAAATATTATACCCATAATTATGCCAACTTAATATAACGAGTTAACTTTTTATTCTCCTTTTCATACATATTATTTGACATACAATAAATTTTAATATTATCTAGATACTGGAGATAATTATGAAAGATAAAGATTTAATAGTGTAATAAAACATTTTATCCAGAGAAGCAGTTCCCGGAGACACACTTGACACCTCTTGCCCAACATATCTTAGGGGTAATACTTGAAGTGACTAGTTAAGGAGAGTGGTGAGTTGTCCATAACATATGAAACCCTCTGTACATATGTTCTCTTTTCATACTATGTTTAAAGTTATTGCTCGATAATTCTAAACCTATGTGACTAGAAAATGAGATTTTCAAAGCAAAATAAGGTAATTTTTTTAAAAAAGAATTTTTGCCTTCAGTGTTTTTTGGTTTGAATCATGTATATTTCACATTAGGCAATTATTTTATATCCAAACAGGGTCACCTTTCTTTGTATCGATTTGAATCTTATCATCTTGAATTCAGAGAAGTGGGACATTATAAGGTATTTTTAAAGAGCTTTTTGAAAAACTTTATGCTAACTTGAAAGAGCTACCATAGTGTTCAGGTTATATACAGAAAAACTTGACATAATTTAAGTTTAAAATTAGCAGATATATGAATATACAAAAATGTATTCAGTTGTACAAAGTAAAAGTTAATTTTAAAGGCCAGAAAAAATGGTGCAGTCATTAAACAATTATTAATTTTATATTAAAATTATATAATCTATCATACTACTGCATAAAATTATTTTTTACAACTGACTGACAAGATGTGTGCTATACAATCTACCACAAGTGCAGGGTCATTAAACTGTTACACTCAGGAAGGCCTGAAAGTTTAATAGGAATTTATTACAAAATAAGTTTTCTCAGAGTGCTAAAATATTTTAACCATGTTGAAAAATACACTTCAATAAAGAAAATACAATGGGTTCATATACATCTCCCAATCAAGTAAAAAACAGAACTATAAACATTTAGGCCAGTTACAACTGAAAATGATGAGTGCAACTTTTTGCACAATGAATGAATTTTTAAAATTCCATCAGTTGAACTTTTTCCTCAGCAAGTATATCCGAAGATGACTCAGTTCAGACTTGTCTGTTAATGTATTAATTTAAAAAGCTCTTATCTTGCTTTTGCAACCTCCCTTCTAAGCCAATATCTTTCTGAATGACACTGAACTTTAACAGAGAAAAGGTGCTTTCTATGCAGAAGATGAAAAATGCCCAGAGCAGCAAAAAGTAAGCCAAATAGATGTGAAGCCAACAAAGTGCCTCAATGGGATGGGGTACAGCAGAGACACAGCTCTTTGTGAATCCATAATATCAAATCCTGTCTTAAAGCAGTGCACTTGTTCTATATACACTGTTCTAATGGTACAAATACCCTGAGAGTACAACGATACAGCTCATGCATATTAAAGAAACACTGCAATGAATAACACTAGAATATGTTTTCCTACATCTGTGTCACTCATTCTGGATAAGTATTTAATAGCCAAGATACTTTGAAGTTTACAATTTGTTCACAGTGTGAACTCCAAAACATGGACAGAAACTAGTAGTTTTTACTCTGATTACAAATACAGTGCATTCTCTATAGATAATTTGAAAAATAAAAATCAACTGAAACTATGTCACCTCAAGATAACCCCATTAGTATTTTCTCCCTGTAATCATTCTATCCAATTTAATTTATACTTTATACAATCTATTTTGATTTATGAAATTTTAAAGTCATATAATATACTTATTATAATTATTTAAAATACTATATATTTTTATTTAAAATGGCAATATTTGACTGTTTTGCCTGAAAAAAATGGTAA